CTCCGATTTCTCAATTGTCTCCGTATAGTGTCTCTAAATTCCCTACATGAAGTGTCCAAATTATACATAGTTACTTCAAGAGATTGCTTTGCTCTCTTGGATGCAACCTTCTTGAACTCTTTCCTAGTTTGTTTCCCAGTGACACAGCCTTCGCAAATCTTCTTTGGTGCAAAAATCATAGGAACATTTTCACTAATTCTTTATCTCTCAACTGACCCAAGCTCTTGAAATTCAAATGCCCATAGCGATAGTGCCATAACCATACTTCTTCTTTAGTATTGACAATGGCTAAACACTGAACAACTATGGCATTGAGATTCACCTTAAAGGTTCTATTTCTGGCAAGCGGGGCCTTGAGCACGAGTCAATTTCTTTCATCAAACACCTCTATATGTCTTTGATGCATTGAAATCGTGTAACCTTTCTTCAGAAGTTCTCCAAAACTCAGCAAATTACTCTTCATAGTTGGAACATACAACACGTTATTCATGTAAGCCGATCAACCATCCTTGCGCGTGATCAAGATTTTGTCAACCTCTTCAGCCATGATCACACTATTGTCAGCAAATCTCACGCTACTTCTGATACTCGTGTCCAGGTCTATCAACCATTCTCTCTTGGTCGTCATATGGTTGGAACATCTTGTGTCCAAATACCAACATGTTTCTTCTTCTACATGGCTTGTTTCATCAACATGTAGTCCACTTCTTGACATTTGTCCTGTGCAAGATTCTCATTCTTACACCTGTTAAATTTATGAACCTCACTCTCACATCTGTCCTAAGTTAATTTCCAGCGCAATCATCTTTACCATGTCCAATTATGCTCATTAATAGAACATGATTAGAATCGGAGTCGCTCGTGTCTTATGCAAGATTTGCTTCATCATCTTTGCTCTTCTTTGCAGCTTCATTGTGCCAACATTCTGATGAATAATGCCCATATTTGCTTCAAGTATAACACTGAACGTTTCTTTGATCAAAGTTCTTTCTTCCTCTTCCTCTTGACTGCCTTCCACCTCTCTTGTTTTCATTTCTTTGTTCGCCACCATTTTCTTCAGAAATTTGATAAAAAACATTTGCATTTTTGCTTGCAGTCCGTCCCCCTTGTGATCGGCCTCTACCTCTTCCAGCTCCACGAACTTTAGAATTTTGATCACTTCTGGCCTGTAAGGCTTGATTCGTGCCTTGACTCACGCCTTTTTCGGCATTTCTCCTTTCAATCAATCTCTGCTCATGCACCTCCAGAGAATTATGTAGTTCTTCCACCCTCATAGTCTTAAGATCTTTACATTCTTCTATGGCCACTTCTATATGGTCATACTGAGGAGTTAATATTCTGAGTATTTTCTCAACACTTTTCCTATCTTTTTCACGATCTTGTCACAAGCTCTCATCGCATTCACCACTACTTGATTCTTCACAAATGTAATCTACGATTGTTTCTTGCTCCCCCATGCTCAGAAGTTCATAATGTCTTTGAAGAGATTGCAACCTGATCTTCCTGACCTTTCCAAAGTTACCATAGCCTTCTTGTAGAATATCCCAAACATCCTTTGTCGTGACAGCCTTCGAGACTTTCTGGAAGATTGCAGTTGATATACATTGGTGCAACAACAATCGTGCTTTGCAGTCTAGCCTCTTGTTCTCCTTGTGCAGCTTCTTCACTTCTTCTGAATCTCTCTTCGAAGGTTCTTTGAAACCTATCTTTACAATTTCATCCACTTATTGGAAGTCAAGTATCTCGTCCATCTTAATGCACCAATCGTCGTATCCTTTGCCATCAAACACTGGCAAGTTGTCGTGAACAATTCCAGTCATTACGTTTCACGAGTCTGCCTCTTCTTGATACGTTTTCTTGAGCTTCGCCGCTCTTCACCAGGTTACGAAACCTTGCTCTCGATACCACTATTAGCACAACATGTATAAAAGAGAATTATGCAGAGAAACAAGTAATGCAAAGAATGAGAGATTGTGAAAGTGAAAAATATTTCTCGTTATTAAACTGAATGGAAGAAACAGTATTTGTAATAGAAGAAAAGAGACGATCTAACTGTCATTTTGACAGTGAGAATAATTTGGATTATAACAACAATAACACTGCACTAAATCACTAATTTTTGTGATTTGCAAGACAACTATGGGAATGCAGATCCAGAAAATGTTGCTAACATTTGAGGAGTATGAGAGCAAGAACTATGAGAAGCTTTTACTTCCTACTGTATTGATTTACAAATGCTTTACTTATTAATTATATCCCCAGTCTCAGTCTGTTACTAAAAATATAAAGCACTGAATTCGAGGTCAGGCTTCCTACTCAGAAAAGGCAAGGTAAGAAATGAAATACTTTTTTTTCGTTCTCCTCTCCAAAGCACAGTACAAACATATAAGCTGATGACTCAAAATATTCTCTAGGACAGGTGGCACGCAGGCCAAATAACATAATAACAAATCCTAACCAACTCTTTCTAGAACAATAGAAAACCAACAATTATTGGACAAAAAGGTCAAACAGACGTAATCCACTAATGATGAATGAAATCATCCCAACCCAACGGTTTCTTAGACACCCTCTTGGGCCTAGAATCAGCTCCCTTACCAATTTGTGTATCATTACCTTCCCCTTCGACAAGGACCTTGTCCTCAAGGTCATAAAGCAGTTTGAGTTCGTCCCACTTCTCCCAAGAAGTATCATCCGGAGACAGCCCGTGCCATTGAACCAAGGCCATACGCGTAGGGGTGCCATCTATGGGCACTGTTTTCAAATCCAGAACTGCTAGAGGGGTGATCAAGGGACTGCTATCCACTGAGTCAGGCGGAAGGAGGTCAAACTGAGTAGGAATTGGCCCTTCATGACGTTTCAGCATTGAACAGT